TGTTACCTAGTTGCTCAAAGCAAATCGCTACGAATATGACTTATGACCTGTGTACCTAAGCAGCAGGTCTTCGAAAATCAAGCGGACCATCAATGGGAACTGCATGGCCAAGCCCTGGGACAACCTATTTGTGTATATGTTATTATTTGTTTGACTAAAACTACACCGATAGCTGCCTTCCGTGGATCCGATGCTGTTTATTGCGCCGAGATAATAGTACTACTACAGCTACTTAGATCGAAATAATTAATAGACGGATAATGACAAAGCGCAACAACTGATGCCACCATAGAACTACTGCACTGTAGTCTGTGTTTGTATGATTTATATTATCACTATAGCGTCCAGGGGAAAACACGCTCGCCAAGAAAAACGAGCGGTAATTTTCAATACGTATGGCTAAAAAATAGGCCCGTTTAGACAAACGAAGTTTTTCAATAGATTCAATCAAGTGCACACACAAAAATCGTTAGCTGTTATCGCATGTTGGCTTATTTGGCACGGGCAGGAAAAGCAAGTCAATGAGCTCGAAATGGGGCACAGTACTGACAACTTTGGGTTAGGACACGCTCAAGATAAGCTGCATTAAGTTCGTACCGAAGTAGCAGCACAATGGTCACCAAATTAACAGGCCGACGTCGAAAAATACCATTTGTTAATGCGTAGTTATACCGCTCATTATATTTGCAATTGAAGTAGATCGTACATGCACTTAGTGGCTAGTCCTTACCGTAGGCGCTTGCCCATTAAATTGTTTACAAACAACGCGTACCAAGAAAATAACACTCGTCCCTTTCGATAATACCGAACTATTACCAAACTAGCATTCATTAGTTAATAACACGATACTTTACGGACCTAACTTACTTTGAGTTGCACTTTCCTATTTCACGTTTCGTATCAGTTTTCACTGTGATACGAAACGCTGGCTCGCTTCTAATGTCCTCTTATTACTCATCACGGCTATGCCACCACGCTTGTCCGCCAACCTGCTCTAAGAACGCAAACAACTTATTACGCCGCTTTTGCAGTTTCAAAAAATTTCCTACGGCACCCACTAACCGATAGATAGCCAAAGCTTGAGCTCAGTAAATGGTCATTATCTCAAACACTCCCGTAGAAATAACAGGGGTAGCACCATCGGTTATCACGGGAAGTCAGCGAGCATATCTATTGTCTAATTATAGCTTTTAATGCAATCATTTATTCACAGCAACACTGTTTAGTATCCTGTCCATATTCTCAGTGTCTGCTCTCCTGAAAGAATATCGCACGAAACCTTGTTAGGTGGCTATTGGAACTTTGTCGTGACTTTAGGCAGATGTATATTTTTTTCGTATGTGCGAGACCGTACACGATGTGACTGTGATCAATAATGTGAAACGGTCTCAAAAGTACAAAAATAATTTCGAAAATATCCGTTGTTCACACGCGGAACAGGCGTCCTGCCAATTCATCCGTCAGCCGACCGCCATAGCGATCAAAACGATGCCAACAATTATGCCAAGGAAAGCGTTAGGCACAGCGGGAAAAATGTGTGACACGTTTTTTGACGCCAGCGCTTTTCGTGTATGCATATGGACAAACTATGGACTTGACGGCGGTATTCGACGGCGCCGGCACTGCTGCATCTATAAAACTACTAGAATTACTAAAAGTTGCTATCAGATTATGGTTTTGTCGTTTTACAATTTGACGTTAAGAACTTTCACAGGCGTGTTTACGTAAGGACAACAACAAAATTGTAGATTGTGTCCACATTGCTTGGCCGCATATAGCAGCAAGGGAAGACCCGCGAGTATCATTACCTGTGAATCAGGAACAACACAATCTTATCGAAGCTGTCGGTTTTCTAATATATTGAAGCACGTCGCTGAAAACAGCGACGACACTGACGCGGAAACTAGGATGCGGATATTCCATCATGGTAACGGACCATTCAATTCTGAACGTAGTTGTTCGGAGTTAGAGGTATAATATAATCGCTTGTACCACATTAACAGCTCCCCATTTGCTGCTGTTGCCAGTTTTGAAATTTGAATAAAAACAAAAATAGAGATCTTGTTTTTTCCGGTTACACCATGAGATTAACCACTACATGTTGTTTCGTAATAGCTGTCATACGTATTTGAACGCTAAATAAAACCAATAAGTAAAACCATCATTTCCTGACCGATGAATAAAGCACTAGAGTTTGGTGATATAAATGTGCTTTGAGAGTCTTTGCCTTTTCTGTGCTATGATTCTCCAGAATGCTCGTTCATCGAAGAAAAACTTACATCTATAAATAAAGCAGAAAAAAATTCAGAAACCGCAATGACTTGGGACGCCTTTCAGGTTGGGTTAATGTATGTTTAAATACTCAAAGTTTTAATAGTTCTCCTTTTGGCGAATGTACTGCTTTCCAAATTGTAATACTGTCCTGAAATGGTATCTTCCTTTCGGTTTATTAGGACTGGCCGCTTATTCGGATAGCCAAATAAATCTCTCGCATTTTATGTCCGGACTTCTGTAAAGCACCGCTTCAGGTATTTTTGAATATTTAAAGACTGCATACTGGCCAATCTCTTAACTCCTCCTGGGGCACACATTTCGAGCACAGGCACTTTTACTCTTTTTTAGAAAATGATTCTGCAAAAAAGAAGGGGGGTAACAGCTCAGCTCTGCGCATAAGGTCTATGTGTTATCGATCCTTTTTCACAGTTAATAGCATGCTTTCTTTTACAAGCTTATCGCAAACGCCCTAGTACGTATTTTTCGTTTGGAAAGAATAGAGCCTCATCCTACGGATGGTGGTTGCCATCAGTGTTTTCATTCCGTTTGCTGTTTTCGGTGGAACCTATCGTAAGCGTAATATCAATTCGAACCGATTAACGTCCAGGCGTAAGTCTTTAGGTGTCCAAGCTGTTAGGTCTCAGTCACTTTTTCAAAGTCGACTCGGGATAGTAGAACGATGGAAGATTACTTGTATATCAGTCGTCATGATTGCTAGCCACGTACATGCTTAAGCTAAAAAAGACCGAATATATCGTTGGAAATTTTTACGGCGACTGGCAGTCAGCGGGCAGCAGCCGCTAACAGTGTTGGGCACGGGATATCAAACTAGAAGGAAAATCACGAGTCGTTCGATTTCCTCGGGTCCGAAGGTCCGATTGTACCTATTTTTCAAGAATGATAAACATATCTCCATTGAAATGTTCACTGCATATGAAAAACGTCCAACTCTTCTTATTATTATCATTATAATCTTTCTATTCTCATCGCTCACCTCATCAATCGTTGATTAAGTGCCACTGACCAAAAATTAACTACTAGAGAAGTTTTTTGACATAGCGATCAGAACGCGTCAATCGTTATCCACTCAAATGCGCATTCATAGCAGTTGAACGTAGAATTTTCCTTCGCCGTTATAGCTCATTTACGTGCACTCGTAGACGGTACCTCGCCCCTTATTTCGTTTTTCCTATTCTATACCTCGGCTGCTTCGTTAACTTCGCAATTTAGTTTCTTTGCCGGCCGGCGTCAAAAACGCCTCACGAAATATTACGACGACGTCCGCGACGTCGGAGACGCTAAGCAGGGCAAAGGAAGGTGGGGCGGAACGCGCAAATCAATCGTTTGTGACACGCTACCGCTCGCAATTTTCCGTCGCGTCCTGGTTGCCGCTGCTTGAAGCTCGACGTACAGCTGTACTGAAGATGCTCAAAACAGGAGTCTTGCCCAAAAGAAATGGGATCACATATAGAAAGCATGTCCAGCAGGGTGACCAGCTATGTATCGTCGTTGAACTTCCAGCGACCATTTATTTACTGGCTGCGTAACGTCATATAATGACTGTTTTAGCACGTCGGCGAAACAAAGAAGGACTAGAGATGAAGTACTGACTAAGGCCATTCGCCGAACGAGGGTAGAATGTGAGGAGTGAGTCTGCAAAAAGCCTAGTTTCTGTAGTCTATATTAGCAGCTCTCCTGATGCAGCCAGACTAAGCGTGAAATGATGGCCTGTGCGAGAATTTTCGAAGGGTAATAAGGAAACACGGAGTGATATCAGTCCTTAAAAAATAGCGATACCTGCTTTAATTAAGGATTCCAACTTCACGTTATCCATTTACCACGTTATGCCCTTAATTACATTTAGATTCGTTGTACCCAGATCGTCATAACAAGATCGGTATGTGGTCAGATACATGTATGATACAGAAATACAAGCTGCCCACAAAATAAGTCTATTCGTTCAGCGAAAAGGATCGCCCGAGCGTTTTTCTTCTTTGAAAATTTGCAAGGTGCTTCTTTTTTTTGGAAATGACTTACACGGTTTTAGTACTATCCATGATCATGCTACCACGATATAGTGACATGCGATATGAATAGACTATTCCCTATATATCACACGGTGCGTGGAGCATATTTTTCGCACAGGTCAATACGAAGCAGTAGCGGTATTAGGGCAAAAATATTTTTCGAAGTGTGTTTATAGTGTTTTTTTCTGGTTTATTTTGTGCCTGTTTACTATTACATTTTTATTTTTTTAACGAACAAATAACAAATGTATGTATGTATATCAACTGTGCACACAAAAGAAGTAAATCATAAAATGAATTTTCTACTGAAGTTCTAACAACCTTAGGACCTCTATGTACAACACATAGGCCTTCACAACACGTAGCTTCGTGCGAAAATCTCTTCACAGCAGTTGTTATTATCTTTCGCGATTATCACAATGTTGAGCCGGCATAGCGTACAACTACGACAAAGCCTATCAGAAAGAAAAACAAACTAACTGTTAGCTACATAATGTCACGGGCAACAGCTGGTCGTCAACTGATCCCATCATTTTAGGCTGACTGATTTTTTTTTTCTATTTACCTTAATTTTATATATGATTATATCTACGTTCTTATTTAGCATGTAGCAGCGCCGCTAAGTGCACGAAGCTTCGCGATGAATAAGCTGGAAACAGTAACAAACACTTTAATTGGCTGCGGTGTATTATATTTCAGCTTCCTTCTAAAAAGTCCGTTGTCGTAAAGGAACCGAAGCGTAACAAGCTCACGACGACGAAGAGCCATTGCCGGCGAAGAGCGGCACTCGCCATTAAACGACAGACCATCACTGCTCTAGTCATTCCAAGCAAGTGTACACGAAAACTATCACAAGCGATTCAACATATGGCAAACTTGAGAACGAGTTGTCAATATTTACGTTTCCAAGCTGATTCATTTTGTTAGAACTTGTATCGAGGCCAAATTTCATTATTATTATCACCATCACAAAACGTCGCTTGTATTCAACCAGTTGAAACAACAGCCGTAACAGTTAGTCGAACCGGTATTATAGAAATCGGCCCGATCTTGCAAATGTTCGTACTGGGACCCTTCTACATCTTATACTGCATTGATTTCGACGGAAAATTATTGTATCTCCCTGTGGTTTCAGGTATTATGATCATTACGGTTGGAGGACTTGTGATTCCGCTGCACTTCCTCTTCGGCTTGGCCGTCTTTTGCTTTGGTCTAATACTGTTATTACCGCTACCGTTGGTGATATGGAAAATGAAAACCTTCCTCGTTGAAGAAGACTGCATGTGCTGTTGTTGTTGCTCAGCGGTCGCGAGTGGTAGGTAGAAATTAAAAGACGCGTACGAAGAAGTGAAACGTCGCTAGAGCACGGCCTAAGCTCAAATGCTGAGTATAGAATGTAGGATATAATAGTAGCGTCTAAATAGTATACATGTTTAATTCATACCTATCTTTTGTATATTTTGAAACGTCTATTTTGTGCGTCTATGACACAACAATTCCAGCTAAGTATGATATAAAATTAAGGGAAATATATTGGGACAATTTTCTTCATTCAACATTGACCTTTCTGCCATGTAGTGGTTTCGTTAGTCCTCTAGCTACAATATATTAATTATCTTGTTTTTCTTTTTTGTGGTTTTGATTGCTGTGGCCGTACAGTGTCGAGTACAATCGATCGCAAGATAATGATGGGCTCTATGAGCTGCATTAACGGGATGGTCGACGTGGGCCCGTCATACGTCAACTATGCGTATGATGCACATCTCGACTTCCCTTCATCGCGGCCGATGACTCCTGCGTCCTCATCATTTTACACAATCAATTCGTCCTTGTCAGGCTCATTGCCGGTTCTCAATTCCGGAATCATCCGTGAGAGCTCCCTCATCTGAAGGAGTTAGCTCACTAGGTGGATAGGCCTTATTTGTCGATCTGCTGGACCCTCTCATCACCAGCGTCAATCAATTTTATCACGTGGCCGCATTAACTCGAGGCGCTCCATCAACAGCACACCCTCGATGGCGGAAATCGACGATCATAAAAGAACATCGAGATAAAATCGAAAACCAATTGAGACTGAGAACGTGGCCGGTGGTGCTGTTTCATAGCCACATTTCTGCGGTGTTTGAGGGCTGGACAACAACCTGATGCATCGACTACATTCTAGCAGTCAGTTCCTCATTTATACAACCGAATGAAACTGTCCATAGGCTTCACGAAATTATGGTGATGCAGGCGAAAAAAATGTTTAATGTTTTTGTACAAGATGGCGAAATTGTTAGAAACGTAATACGTTGGATGCGATAATTAATTGTGAAGGATTTGAGATTATCTTCGGTAGAAGTTAACTGGTAAGAATTAAACTACGCGATTTGGGTCCAACTATTGAAGATTTAAGGAATCTACATGGACATTCAGTCCCTGAAGGATATCTGGTTTACAGATAAAGCTTCTTTTAGACAGATGCCAGCCCTGGGAACTCCGACGGCCAATAGTAGATCACACGAGAACGACACACCTAAAGAACCTTGTCCCGGGTATATTTTTCGAAGGAAACAATGTTCAGTCATCAATGAAACAATAATATTTTGCCTTCAATCAAATACGTTTAGTCAACAAATATATATATATATATATATATATATATATATCACACACCCTGCCTTTTGTTGAAGTCCAAAAAGTCTAGCCCACATATTCCGCAAGAATAGCAACGATCTCCACCCTTCAAGTGTCCCATGAGACCTACAGCTTATAACATAATAATTCAATTAGATTTAGCAGTTTAATTCAGCTTTTTCAATTCGAATTCAAGGCGGCAACGGCCTGCTATCTGGGATCAACTTTCCGGTCAGCCTATTGAGTTGCCCAACTGTATATTTCCAATTAGACATTTGCCAAACCCGGACATCATCGGGCTGTTCTAGGTAATAAACGAAAGAAATGTGTTACTATAGTTGATTATTTTTGAAACTGCCCAAGTTGGAAACTATATCTTGATATCCTGGATCCCTTTACATATGCGTATGCAGGAATACATTGCTAAGGTAAGGAAGCTGGCTTCATATACACGAACGCTGGCTTGAAGCCACAGAGTTAGTCTGACACAGTTTTGTGGGGGTTCCATAAGCGTTTCTTGATCCGGAGCGATCTACTGGATTCTCCGGAGCCAGAAAAACGTTGCGAATTTGACCGCCAATTGCAGTGGTAGCATTTCTTAACGAGCAATCCTTGAAAATATCTATCGTGCCTCCTGTTTGCTTTGGGCAATATATAATATTAGGTAACTTTATTTTTCTTTCTAACTTTTCCAGTTCTTGTTCCTATAGTGAAATAATTTTTGTGGGCAAGACTTGCAGATTAATCTGTCCGGGTTGGCATCAGGGTTGGCAAAACCATACCTGCTGGCACCGTACAAAAAATACCTAAGCTGAACGTTGACCAATGGTGTACTCCGCTGATGGTCGCGCTGATAAAAACGATGATGAGGTATAACTGAAGTGAGATCGTATCGCTATGTATATACCGCGTATTTGAATGACTGATATTGATTCCTCGGCGAGCTTCAAATAAAACGTGACGCGTTCGAACCGACGGCCGTAAGCGATAATGACTCGAGGCTCGAGCGAAAACATCTGAAATGTAAATATTCACCAATAAAGTATTTATACTATGTTGTAATTTTTTTGTTTTTAATTGCAGTCAATTATATTATGTCAAAGAAGTAACACACCTATATATAACACCGAAACTTTTTCTTTTCTTTGTAATTTTTTTATTTTAGATTAGTCCAAAATTAGATTAGAAAAATTTAATATCTACGTTAAGCAGAGTGTCCAGTTCCCGAGAAACTTCAAAGGCAACGCCATTTCAAACCGAAGGCCGTACAGAGGTGCTCCATGCGTACGCAGTCTAATTGTATAGGCCTGCCCGAGTGATATTGGCCAATATGAACAAAAATTCGTTCAGCTGCCCTCGAGGGCAAGCAGATTCCTTACTCTTGTTGTGATAATTGCATGGAAAAGTTTAAAAAAAAAACCTCTAAGTTTGCTACCTGCGGTAATGGAAACATTGCTTATAAGCGTTCAGTATCCGTGATCAGACATGACCTATTGTTGAGCCTACATTAATCTCCTAATTACTTAAATTAGCAATTTACGTCAAAACAGATATTCTGAACGACAATTTGTATCTTTAGCTGGTGAGAATAATTTAGGTTATTTAATCAAGGTCCATAGTTGTTGATTAGAACATTTGAGTTTGTCAAATCTGTTCACAGACATTTTATGAAGCAACATTAGATAAGAAGATCCATGTAGTTACTTGAACAATGAAAAGTGAGTTCTAATTCTACTGCGTAACAAATAGTCGGACACCGCGCAATCTACAACTTCGTAATAAAGCCCTATCGATGCAATATCGGTGTTCCATAGACAATACTCGGAAGTCTGATTCTACTGCTGATTCCACATTGCTATATAATACCATTACATATGCCGGCCTCGATACATGCACATAGTTCTATATGCTATATTTTGTCAAAATTATTAACTAAAAAAAAATTAATACTCGCTTATACCTTGAGCGGGATCAGGTTTTTAGCGAAACTTCACCCTAACATATACTGAAAATTGTACGTTTTTACACAATATGCACTTAAATAAGGTAGCAATTGTAACTTACTTCAATCACAGTGCTTATCAACGTCGTAACAGTAGACTATTCATTATCTCTCTGAATTTGCGAGGAGCCTCGGGTTGGCTCGGGCTAAACTGTAATATATAAAATAAACACCAGACCGTTGCGAATTCTGATTATTACCCTCCCGAATCATCTCTAATCATTGACAATCGAACCTATTGAATCGATAGAGTTTGGACATCTTCCTCTATTTTCAGAGTTAACAGTTTGTAAGTTTGGTAGTTTTCATCCTCTATTACTTGATCTGACGCCCACTACGCTTACTTCCCAAGTGATCTTTTCTCGGGAGGTCGGCTGGCCTTTCTTTGTCAAAACAGCTTGATGCTCGTCTGTTTGACGCACCTCCAGATCCCGCAGCAACCATGGGGGGTCTTTTGACTTTTGCCTCGAAAGGTCTTACCAATATTCGTCAACGATTTGATCGGTCTAACAAAAGCTAACATCAAGACACACGGAAGCTTCTGTTCGAAGGTTACGTTCGATGCCTACCTTCCTCAGGAAATGTTTGAACGTCGAGATGTCTATCCTGTGTAGTAAACGGTAATCGCGAAAAACTAACTCGATAGAATTTTTTTTTTTGTATTTATCGGGGTATCGTAGTTATTTAAATGAAGGTAACAGGAATGGAGTAATACGGGTGAAAAGTCAAAGAGTGTACATCTAGTTATAAAGACTGTTAGTTCATATGGTAACTGTTAAAAGCTCAGCTAACTCAGTACGTGATCATTATCTAGATAATTATGTAGAGGATGTAAGGCCTGCGTCAAAATAGGTTTAGCTCCATCTGTAAATGAGTGTCAATAATTAGGGACCTCCAATAGTTAGAGAAGAACATCCAATAATCAGCCATACAAAAATGCCTTTGTTCCGTAAACAGTCGACGACATGCTCTTACTCACTTGAAAGATAGCGTACACTGAGTACAAAAAGGTAAATTTGCGGACTCATAGTAGCTAAATGATCACAGAACTATATTATTAGTGTAATTCGCCATAATTTGCTTCTTCGAAGATTTCTATTTGCTTAAATTTGAACTACATAAAGTTTCAGTAGAGTTCACTATAAATAATTTAGAAACTCTTTTATTTTAACAACGAAAAAGATATAGCCCGATGTATTGAAGTACATCTGCTGTGTGAACCGGAGCTGCATAGAACCGTACAAACTGACTAATTTTTCTTCTGAGTGCGCTGAGTTCAAATATGGGCTAAATTAAAGTTAGCATGTTTCCATACTTCAGATTCACATGACGCGTTTTGAAGTGTATAACGTATTTGTAGATGTGAAAAAGTTCCCTTTCGAAGCCGATCCTAATATATCATTGTCATTAGTTTGTTTTTAAACGAAATTCTGTAGTGATTTCGAACTCCTTTTTTACGTCTCGAAGTTAGGGCGTACTGCTAGCTCGATATTAAGCCCCCGACGTATATTGTTATTAACAGTGATAATTTTCTACTACCAGAATATCGACGATATTCTGAACGAATCTCTTTTATTTACTTATTGTGTTAGTCTGCATGTAATTGATTAAGAAGCTAAATATTTATCCCACTTTCATTCTCCGCGCGAAGGAATCATCTCTACATTGTTGGCCCGATTGCAGTTTAATAAAGGGCTTGTCGCTTCCGTCACAGATGATCATCACGCGGCTCGTGTTTGTTGTTAAGTAGTAGTAGTAGTAAGCTAAAGTTTTGCATAAGAGTTCTCATATGCCCTAACCGCACTGCCCACGCTTTTCCAGCGCACACACGCGACCTCACTTTGTCTCGACCGTATAATGGCCGTACAGCTACTTCGACGTGGTGTTTAGCATTCGAACGGCGAGGTCACTCAACACACTGACAGATTAGAGTTTCCAGTGCCGCTAGCAGTGCGTTCAGAGATGCCAACAAGAAGAGCGCGTTTCTTATCCAGCCACGACTCATAGCTCTTACACCAAGAGTATGCACCACTTAACCCAGAAAACGAATCGTTAATGTCTCTTTACGCTTGGTTCTATCACTGAAAAGCCGCATAAAGAGGATACGAGTAGAAAAATTTGTACACTGAGTGCAATATACGGTATGGTAAACCTAACAAAATAGAGCTTTTAAAAAACTCACTAGCATGCTGTTCTATCTAGGAGCCACAGACCTTTACCCTATCTTGGGAGAGACCTTGAGTCGATTCGTTTGATCATGAACAATCTATTTGTTTTCAGCAGCACAATCGTCCATTTACTTATTAGGTGTTGCTCATTTACGTTGATTATCCACGCGGTGAGTATTGTTTTTTTATCTGTACGTCGGCATTGGTGTATAGTTAGCTGGCGAAGTAATAAGAATACTTTGTCGTCGCTTGAGAAAATTTCGAGGAGCATGTAGTCCTGTGACGTTTATAGGCTCATGTTACTACTAACTAGGCAACTCCTAGAAAAAAAGTCTAGTCTTATTCTATTGTACAGATATACGTCGTAAATATTATAGACGTGCAAATTTTTACCGATATTGTGCCACGCACTTTCTAACTACATGTATGTTGTTAATGTTCAGTATATTTGTAAGCTTCTTCTCTCCTAAGCACTATAGAACAAGCGTCGATTTCATTTTATTATAGGGTTGCGCCTTATAGCATATAAAATGCATTGCTTTGTTTTACAATATCTATTTATTTTAGGTGACTTGCTGTCGTATTCTCTGGCATATTTATATTCATAGTCAAAACGATCCTCCGTTGTACCCCAATCATCGATTTAATGTTGTCAACTTTGTCTATGGTCTTTAGATGAAATTTTCGGCCATATCACCATAACTGCACAGAATGTAATAAGCAACATCTCTAATACTCAATTACTATAGTCGTCATGATCCACGATTGGATTTCGTTATGTTTCCTCTTGTACTGACATCATTAGTTTTCCCTACGTCGTTACTGCACCACATCCAGCTGTTTGGCGCCACTCCGAATTCAAACTGTTCTTCTGTTAGGCCTCTCCACTTTTGTCGGGGCTCCTTCTCTCGCCCTCGTATCCGGCGCTCGGCCTCTGCTCCAACAACAACGGTAACGACAACGAAGTTGGTGTCATTCGAGGTCTACCAATACGAGCCTACCGATCGACAGAGAGGTTAACAAACGAGGAAACAGCAACTGTATTTTTTGGGACAGCATTACTTCCCATTGCACGATCCGTTGAATAAGACAGCCAGTTAACTAACTACTCAACTATTATTTCCGTAGACAAGAACTACCCCTTGTGTACCTGCGACTACAAATCATTTTTATTGCTGGAATAAGAAAGCTGCTGCTGCTGCTGCTGCTGCTGTAGCAGAGCTGGCTTTAATCTTGGCAACTGCCCTGGAATAGTAGGGTGAACCAGATATTTTGTATTTTGAGCACCAGTTCGATTACTCATCAGCCGCTGTTTGCGATCATCTGATTTTGCTGGGCCGGCCCGAATTGGATTGTCGTGTATGAAAATTATTTTTGTGCTCAGCCGATCGAGGTTTTCGTTAGAGAAGCGGCGGCGATGCTGTTTCTCTTACTCTTCAGTTAACTCATTTTATGTGTGGATGCGTGGTTTTGTATTAAGTTAAAGTTCGTTCGAGCTGCTTGATCAGCCGATTGATAGGCCAGCTCTACAGCAGATCTACTGCTGTCTGCGGTCACTTTGTTAGTAACGAGTACACATATAATCTGTAGTTTCGCCGTTACCTAGTGACAGCCTGATCGTGTTTCTATAAGAGAGCACCGTATATTGTGAAATTGGATTTTCCATCACTCGGTCTGTGTCAAGGTTCGGAGGGTAAATCCGATAGGTCAAGGCAGGCTTTTTTTTCCTTTTTTTTTTTTTTATAGTGGTACAGGAAAAATAGTTGTAATGGAAAATAACTGTGATAAAGGTACCTCCATGCTGTGCATTTTATCCTTAACGAGTGACCGTGTGTGATCCGTGCCAAGTATCCCCGGCTGCTAGGTACATTTTTCTCCCCCTTCTTTCTAGATGCACAGATGCATATGTCTGTATTTATGAGAGTCCGCGCGAAATCAACGCGAAGATTAACGGTGTTAGAATTAACGTTAGTGAATAGAGATACGTTTTAATTGGCTGCCCGCAATGGATGACGTTTACAATTCGTGTTTTATAGTTGTTTGCTCGAGGAGATTCATGGCCACCGAATCCAGCGGGAAGCTGTAACACTTGAGTATCCTTCATTGTGCTGAACCATTTCAGCTTTATTTAACAAAATGAATTGGTACTAATACACGAGTGACCATTGCATTTGATAGAGTCCCTCTCGCTATTAATCAAGCTGGCTAGACTCTGCATTATTTACCTCTCACCTTGTTGACGACTACCGTGCGCGGATCCCTGCAGCGACGAAGGCTTGCTCTCTATAACAATAACAGGACGACCTATTCAACGGTCAGCAGAAAGATAAAAGGCAATAGAGACAAACGAGCTAAAAAAACGTAGTCTGATAAATGCATACACACGGAACAAACCATTACTGGTCTGCAGGTTGTCGTTCTGTTCGTCGCTGCTACGGCTGCATACGTTGTTGTTGTTGCTGTTGTCAGGGGCGTTGTTGACGCTAACATTGTTGTTGTTGCCTACTTCCCGTTACCTGGTCGTTCTTGCTACCGTTGTCGTCACTCAGATCAGCAAATTTTCGAGCAGACCGGTTGTTAATGCCAAGGTTTGCTCAGATAAATATCTGGCTGCCGTCATTTAGACGCGACACAAAGCCTGTAGCAGTAAGCGAGTGTCATAGCTCGCGCGCTTAATTCGTAGCAGGACCATAGTGTGTCGATCGTGCGCTGTACAGTGGTAGCGGTGACGCCACTGGCATCAACGGGAGACACGCAAGCTGATGCTGACGCTGATCCTGGTAGATCAGCAAGCGACGAGCACCAGCACAACGGCCTCCGCAATCGCTCACGATGGCTACCGAGATAGTGTTCCCGCCAACACCTGCAAGGAGAATATCAGCATTGAAAGCAACAGCATCAAGAACTGTCGTAACGGCTACGACACCATTATTATTGGATACCTGTATCATTTCTGTTACTACTAGAAATTCAAGCGGTAGGCTACGGTAGGCTTCAGTGTTCCAGAGTATAACAGGGTGGGGCGGTAAAGCTTCCACGGCCACTCTTTTTTTCAGAATCGCTAGTCTTATTACGTATACGACGCCGGCAAAGCTATAGCAACGTACGACAACCATCTCGGGCCATACGGTCAGAGCGGCAACTGAAACACCGATCAAAATATTGGGAATAGCCGGCAGCACTACGACAGGACCTCACAATAAGTCTTTTCCCCCGCCCAACCGAAAGTCTCGAACTGACTTTCGGTTGGGCCTGGTCGTTTGTTTGTGTCCGCTACAAAACTAGCGCCATTTAACCAAGTGCTTGGCATAGGACCGCAATCGCAACAGCTGCAGTTGCTGTGTGTGAGACGGTGTGCCTGCTGCAACGCTACATCGGCCAAATTGGTCCGATCAGGAACAAAGTGTTACGCAAGTGTCTCTAGGCTCGAATCGAATCTTTTTCGAAATACAGTCAGCAGCTAGAAAGCGAGTTCTAGTAGAAAACGAACGGTGACCTAACGCGACGGCTACTCGCGCGAAAGGCTACAACCGGAATAGAAACACAACAGCAACAGGACGACAGCGGAAAATCAGCGATCATTTCGTAATAATTCTAATAACAACAAGCCCTCTTCAAGGTGTTGCCGTTTCCGCTGGCACGATGTCTCCGCCATCAAAACCGTCATCATCTACTGTCATGTGAGTACCATTAACACACAGACACACAATCGTAATCGTACTAATAACAAAAGTTTTCGTCATTCAAAAACGCTTATGCAATATCACGTGCTGATATTAAATACTTATTATATTCTTATAATATATATATTATATTAAACACATTTAATCAACCCATTAGCTTCTTTTACTCCCAGTTGCTTATCATTGTTTTCGTTTTCGTAGTATCTTTATAAAGTTAGTTGAAAAAGCAGAGTCAATGGTCGGCGCCCTGCCCGCTTTTTCCTTGCCGACTACTTGAAGGGTGCTAACGGTAGAACGGCAGTGGCGAAGTTGAATAACTCAGTTCTTAAGCGTTGTCCGATTTTCAAGGAACATTGGCCAATTTTCTAGACGAGTCTCTTAGGACTCTAACCCTCCTGCCACTTCCGCACCCGGTCTCCTCTATCTTAGTCTCTCTATCTCAGTCGTGTCGCTAGGTGATGTAAACCTGATGCCTTGACGACGGGCTGTGCTCTATTTAAGTGTCGTGTCCCTTTACGATTTTCAGCGAGACGGTCCTATCGTCCACTGTACAAAAATTGCAGCTTGAAGTAGTGACGCTTCAAACGCGACATTGTGATTGTAATAACGCACCTGCTAAAACAGGGAACTCTGCGTGTTGAGCGATGAAGTCGACTGTAGCCTAGTTCACCCCTAAGTACTTAAAAACATTGGCGAACAGAACGTTTTTCCGATGTCGCTAAAATATGGAAGAAAAAGCAAAGACATTTAAAAAAAAGACTGCTTATATCTGTGACAGCTGGTTTTGTTGACGGGGGCGAATTGGCCCTTTCTGCGTATGTTATATGTGCTAATAGATGCGTACAGACAAACACAATAGACCATCGTTGAATTAGCTGTTGTAATTTTTAACGCGTATAGGCAATACCACATAAGCAAGGAATCCCTTAGCAGTTTCCGACATCACTTAGGAGTTGCTAAGTCATTTGGTATCAGAGTTTTAGTACTGCACGGTATTGCAAAAGAGTCGCACTTCACCACGTCAGCGTTTACTTGGCGCCATTGAAGATAAAGAGAAGACATGTTGATTTCCTCTAAACTAATTCGAGACTATAATTAATCAACTAGTACGATTTTAGCAGCTCATTCAGTTTATAGCTGAACTAGAAAAAGCGGAACAATATTGGGATGGTGCAGTCACGTACGTTGTTACCTTACGATATATACAGTAGCATGTACACACAAATTGATTGTCTTATTGTAAGACAATTACCAAGTGTCACTCTGTATGGTGCATACGTAATGCGATCTCAAACAGCGTATGGCAAGCAAGCGTCTATTGAAGAAAAAAAACGTTGACAGAGTGCATTTGAGCGTGCATCAGTTCACCGAAAAAGCTGATCGTTTTCGTAATACTTGAAGACTTATTGTTTTTTTCATAGGCTAAAAAGAAATAATCATATATCGAATACAGGGGCGTGAACTACTTCTGTTAGCTGATGCTGGTTCTCCGTGTTATATGTTGTATGTTATGCTTGCGCTGCTTATTATGACATAAGGACCCCAGAGGTGTTTAGTCATTGCTTGGATGGTATAAGGCTCATTTTTGAAAAATTATCCCCGAAAGGTTTTTGCTGATGAGGTTTTTTCACGCTGATGTAATCAAATGCTAGCTGGTTCGAGAACTGACGATGTTGAGATGAATGTACATTGTCGTCCTTCGCAACCGGTTGATGGATCTCCTTTTCGCTACCGTTTTAAATATATCTTTGTGTAATATGGTCGTTTTCTTCCTTTAGCGAAGCTTAGTTGTTCTAGATATACGATTGCCCTGTAATCAGCAGCAGGTAGGAAGCCATAGATAAATGTTGAGATTACTTGTACTCGAAGTTACACGAAATCCAACTAGTATGGAGGAATATTTTCTCGTTTTTCTGTCATTTGGAAAATGACTAGCTCTAGCTAACATAACATTCAGTAAAACTTTATCGTTAATCGACCAGCACGAAAAGAATTCGTGATTTCAATTCTCTCAGAATCTACTCCTGACTATAATCTGAAATAGCTCCAAATGAACAACATGGCTGAAACGTAATGAGGACCCGAAAAGTGGATCTGACAAATCTATTTAATGCTTGGTTACTGCACGGAAACCTGCCAACTAGGTGGGGTGGTGGCCCCCTAAGAGTCCTACACAAATTTGCTCGATCCATCTCCATGGCAGGCGATCGTTGCTGAAAAAGTTTACTGCTGTTACAAGCTTCTGACTTCTCATCACACAGTGGCTGACGAAGTTCCTAACAGCTCGTTTGTATTCCAGCTGAACATCATGGACTTCGAACAAGACGTTCCATCCTTACAACAGGTGAGTTCCTGCTCCTGCAGGTACACCCTGTCTTTCGTAGACGAGACCGGGCGCTCCTGATTATGCTTGCGAATTTTTAGTCGGCATTTTTATATGGCGCCCAGAGACAGAATGCCAAATCTCGCAGAGCAAACGGCATTTGATCATGGCAGCAGTGCAAAAAACTCAATGGGCAGGGATGGAGTGCCTCAGCTGAAGCCTTTCGCCCGCGGTATGGGATAATAACCTCTCAGCTGTTTTCTGTGCTGCCAGATAATCTGCCACTTCGTGTTCAAGATCCATGTTTCCAAGTATGATCTTGTCCTCCTTGAAATGTGTTACTTTCATGTCCGGCAAATCCCCGTAAGACTGTAGTCTGGGTTGCTCTGGATGAGACTGGGTTGTTGATCAGCATAAATATGATACTTTTCCGTGAGCGCCACCGGGCTGGTTCCGCCCTAGGCAAAGCCGCCTTAAACAGCTTCAAATATTTGAAGGTAACTGTGCCCATGAACAGCAATCTTCGCAGACGACATCTGCAAGAAGCAACGGCTGTTAATGTAAAACTACCTATGCCTTGGAAATCTTTCTTGCACATGGTGGAATTCTGCTTTCTACGGTTAAATTGCCTGCCTTTAAGAATTAACCGAGCGAAACGTTCGGCCATCGTAAACTAAGCTATTGACCTACAATTATAGTTGAAAAGATACGTATAGGTTACATACCGCTATTCCGAAACAATTAGATGCATTGATTGCTTATGTGAGCTTCATTAGCACATGCGAGGGAAAGATAGCGGAGGTTGATCTTACTCGGACCAGATCTACGACTAATGAAGCCTCGGAAGGTTCAGACAGAACAAACCGACACAGTTACACGCTTTACAGTGCGCCAGTTGAGTTACATGGGGTCGTGGATTTCCATTTACCACGGGCTAGATTTATCTATACAGTGTCGCTCAATAACAATACATCTTAATATAATCAATCAATAATCATAATTGGACAGTGTCCCTGATCAAATATACAGATCTGATTTTTTTTGATTTCATCCGATCATATGGCACAACTGAGTAAACCCTAAACATAAATAAGTCATCAATTTTTCGAAATATACTAAGATAAAGTAGCAAAAACCTCAGGATTTTGTGTCCTATAATCAGTACAATGCACTTAATATTTCTCGTTATCATTGCGTTTGCCAGCCAAAGTAGGGTTACAGTTTTAGAAACTTGGAAACTAGAATGATGATCGATAAAATTAAGTGTAACTTATTAGCATCTTGGTCCATCATTATCGTCATAGATACTATTGTTTCTATTTCACTAGCGTCAGAATATCATCTCAAATAATGGCTGCAAATACCAGCTGGCATATTCCAATATGAGCAAGCTTGCGGCGGAACCATGTTTGCTTGGTTCGTTACTGATGTACGGAAGTACCAGGATTCTATACAATGGTCTAGATTCAAGTGGTCTGTCGCGACCTTTGATAACGACCTACGATATACGTGAATACATATTTACTGTACCTGCACATCGTTAGTTAACTATGGATCGTACCATATAGGATCAGGTTATACGTATGTGTAAAAAGTAAAATAATGCAGTGAGCTGTACGTTAGGCAAAACAACATCAGGTTTCCCCCATTTGTCCTATAAGTGTACTCCGCCAATAAATCGAAAGTCAGTCTTCGTATAAATTGTGCTGAATCGTCGGCCGCCAGAGTGTTGTGCGGTCAGATTTGCTACTTGGCTAAGGCTGGAAGACTACCTAGGGGATTTTGGTTTTCCCGTATATTCCCACGTAAACGATCGGCCTAGTTACTTCTGTCAAGCTTCGACCATTGCTGCTAGTGAACTGATACACTATACGGATGTCGAAAATGTTAATTATGACAAAGCAGAAATGAAACAGAGACTAGACCTCTGCACCTACTGAAGCTGCGTGGCGATGCCTTTCAAACGTGCGCTATTCCACGGCTGCGTATATAGTTTCCATGATGCCACGATCAAAATTACATGCTATTTATGTGCGGAATTTTGCCTTAGGGTATAGGTAGAAGTGTAGAATTTATTTTTCAGTTCGATGGATCGAATCGGTCCATTTGGGCATTAGGTTCGTCTACGGACATGTGTTCTATTACAGACGATGTTGATTGCTGGTAACAGAAATCGAACAAGTGTGGTGGTTAACGTGGCGGACTACGAATTACAAGTATCCTATTATTTGGGATCCAGATAGGTTGTATAGGGGGCAAGGCAACTACGCTCTGTCGGTATACGTTTCCTTCGATCCATAGGCTGTTCTTCCATGAAGAGATGCTGATGCTGTTGTTGTATCGTATGCTGTGGCGACGATGCTGTTACTGTGGTGGTTTATCCTGGTACCAGTTGCAACAGGAAAAAGTTACTGCATGCAGACAACTGCACAACTACGACAGGGACAAAGAGCCTTTGATGAAGCAAAAGTTTTAGTGCTGCCGATGTGATGCTGTGAATGCTTTTTCAAATCGAAATTCCTAAAGGTCGAACTAACCTCGGCCAGAGGACGATTTGCGCTGGGACACTTCCACGTAACAGTACGCAAGCAGGACGTTGTTTGACTGTGCTTAAATTTGTAAAGAATTATAACGGTCCCCTTTACGTTGTCCGCACCTACCACTTAATGCGGGTAATATTCACGGGTACCCTAACCTGTTATTCGTCTTAAATTGATAGGACAAAAACATTATTATCGAACCACAAGATTCGATCGACCACAAATCGAAATATGCGTAAAATTTGCCTGTATAATTTTGGGGTATTTTCAAATATAATACTGATCGAAATATTGTATTTTTTTTACCTATTACATTTACAAACCATGTAGTCGTCTTTATATACGACTATATATATAGTCGCCATACAGAAGGTCGCTCAGTAGCAAACTACACAGATCTCTAGATTTGATTAAACGCAGCAAAGGACGCTCTGTGTGGGACCACGTCCTATGCCTCTTTAGTCATCCCGATCGGCCTTAACTGAATGATTGCTGATGCGGCTGCATTAATTGACGTTGCTAGAAGCGACAGAATGGTCTGCTGTATTCTAGGACACACGGTACCGCTTAATACGGCCTGAGAACTAAGTTACTGGACTCATCGATAATTCTTTCTATGTGGATCGAATTAAATAGGGGAAATGGGCACCTACCCGAAGTGTTTAGAGGGTCTAATCGGTCGCCAATAGCAATTGGAGATATACGAACAGAGAGAAATGACTTTTCGACGATGGGGTATTGCCGAATTTCTATGGAATCGGTAAGGAAAGGTGCTTGAAGAGGAGCCTAGTTCCAGTTACGGAACCTTTCATCGAAACGTCGTTTGTTGAATGGTGACTACATGCTCTGATAGAACACGTAGTCAAGGTAGATTCTTATTTATCGAATCGATAATTTGATCACCGCCCACAAACCCATTGTTTCCCTTCAATGTGTACATATTTTACGATCTATGTTGAGCCAGTAAAGCTAGAGTAAAAGTAAATAGTCCCATTACCTCTATAATAGTAAAGTGCATAATATTATTCAAGTGATACGATGCACATCCGTTTCTAGAGCATCGTTTCGGTTAGATTGTAGGAGGAGCCGCGTGCTGAGACGCTACTCAGAACGGAAATGAGTTTTCTCCTATTTCTATTAGTCTTGTTACTATGGTTTTTGTATGTAACAACGTATAGGGTTCGGGATAAATTGGGACAAAATTGATGCTGCTTGCTTATAAACTACACGCAAATGATCTGTGTTTATATGCAGTTTTATTTTTAAGTAGCTATTTTTGATATTTTTTTGGAAAGATTTGTCAGTCGCACGTGCCGGAAAACTGATCTCATAATAACGCGATGTTAGTGCGATCAGGTTCGCTGAAACCTAGCCCATACATGAATATACAATGGACCTTATTTTACGGTGTTAAGTCCGGTTTAGATAATCTGAGATTCAGTTTTAAATTTCGCGATCGTTACGCCTTTCAACAGTGTTTTTTTCCGCGATTCCACCGCAGCTGATACATCTAGTGCCCTGCTGAACTTTGTTTCGGTTTTATTAAAAAGGCGTAATTATCTACCAGATCATAATTTCAGGGACTGACCGCACCGAGTAGCTAACCGAAACACCTTTGGAGCAGTGTCGACTCCCTTCTCCAACATATTTCTGTATTAGTTATAGAGAGTGTAATGGCGTTTGTATTTGTATCCTTAAATGTGTGAGAAATAGATGATGAACGCGTTTGCGGGACGTAGCCTTTAATTCCGAATCTAGATACCAATGTTAGTACTTACACGCCATCGTAAGTTAGAGGTTTTGGTATTAAGTGACTTTTTTTGCTGCGGATCGTTCACGTTCGCATATGAGAACCTTTCCCGGCCTTCGCTGAAGCCACATAGAGACTGGTACGTTCAGCGCTCGCGGTGTGAAGACATTGGGTAATAACTATTACGTACTTTTGTTGCAAATATGAATCCCCCATGTTTGCCACTATTGGCTCTTCGTTTTGTCCTAGAGAAAGCGAACTTTTCTCTAGTATAAAAATAGCTAGAACATTTTCGCCACGACAAACAAACAACCAACGAAAACGTGTTTCGTAAACAATTTATTTACCACCGTAAATAAAACTTAACGGACTTGTTTTTTGCACCATTCTGGTATTAACAAGCAGATAACACCAAAACATATTTCGAAAAATAACATACGGATGTCAAAAAACGCTAATGATTTCCTTTTCGTATGTTATCTAGTGAAAAATAATTGAATGCTGGTCGATAGTTCGTGTCCCACCATTGGATAAGCACCACGACTAAATAAATAGTCTAACTCTGAATTATTTCTGACACAGCCGAAAACCATGTACTGGAAATCTGAGTTTGAATTTTACATTTACCTGACGCAGAATATTTTCGAAATATTGTCGATGTTTCGTAAGCGGTAGTTTTCTGTACTCTTGAAAGGGTTGTTTTCGTGCAGTTGATCGAACTGCACGTTGGT